CACCCCCTGCCACGGGCAGGGGGTGGGATAAGATGAGCTTTAATCCCAACCCTAAGCAGTGTGGGATTTTCTGTCAGGTTGAAGTGTCCCCTGCTCTGTCCCAGCTCAGGGCAATGCTGAGTGAGGGCAGGACAGGGGGTGAGAAGGGTGAGCTGGGGGAGCCACAGATCCCTCCTGTGAGGGGAGGGGAGGCGAGGAATGAGCTCCCAGGGTGCCGTCAACCTTCAACGAGATTTTGGGAAACCTTGGTCTCAGTGCCCCTCCGTTGCTTCCCACTCCTCAGGAGACCTCCTGGAGGAGGCAGCTGAGGTTTCTCTGCAGGCAGAGGAGCCAGGAGCAGGGTAAGGCTGATGCACCACCTGCAGTGGTCTCTCCCAAACAAAGCTGTGCCCAGAACCCCTCGTGCCCCAGCAGACTCCACGCTGGCTCGGGCACTGTTGGCTGCAGAGCTCTGGTCCCACATGGCCATGGCACCAGAGGACTTCCCAAGGCAGCCAGGGACCAAAGCTGGACCAAACAATGATCTCAAAGCCTCTTTGCTTTCCCTCTCAAGAGCTTTTACCGAACCTAATTCAGCCAAGACTCCAGACCCAGGCATTCCCATCTCTAATTCCCATTGGGATGAGCGTCTCCAGAGCCTGATGTCCATCAAACCTGGAGCCTGTGCCTGTGACAGGGGGAAGCAGGAGTTGTATTAATCCCTTAGGATGCATCTGCATCCTCCCTGACTGCCAAACCCCCCAGGGGATGGGATGCAGAGCCCTGGGGTTTCTCCAGCCAGGAACCATATCATCCTTCAGTTTTCCTCCATCTCATGGAACATAGGATGGAGGGTTTTACCATTTGAAGACGAATCCTCTGGGACAGAGAGAGGTTTGAAATGTGATGCCCATCAACTGCTCCTTCCCTCATTCCAGGAGGGCAGGGAGTGCTGTGGGTGGGAACCTCGATCCCAGAGAGCCCAGGAAAAGATGATCAATATTTCATTAAAAAATATATTACTTTCCCCATTTCCTTTGAACTGGTTTGCAGGTGGAAGGAGGTGAACTGGTTTGCAGGTGGAAGGACAGAGGCTGCAGACAGGGGGGCTGAGACACCCCTGGGGTGCTGGTCTGTGCTGGGTGTTTGGGTTTCTTCCTCTGGGGTGCTTCCAACCTGCTGGAAACACTTCCAACCCTCCTACTCTGGGAATAAATGTCTCAGCAATAAAACTGTCTTCCTACCCCTGCCTCCCACACACACATGCTCAGAGTGTCTCGTGTAACAGAAGCAACCACTGGAAATGTAATTAATTTTTTTTATCAGATCAGGCTGTTTTGATCCGTTTCCAGGCAGACACAGTCTGGCAGACTTGGGTGTTTCTGCCCCCAGAAAAAGGTCCTCCAGTCCTTTCTGCAGAGCTCTGGGATTCCCAAATATCACCCAGACTCCAGGCTCTGGCTCAGGGCTGGTGGCTGAGCCTGTGCCAGGATGGATCTCCTGCCCAGCAGTTGAGGGCCAGGGGAAGGGCAGCACCTCCAGGCAGTTCCTGCTTTGCTTCTCAGGCTCCTCTGCAGGTTGGTTTTTTTTTTTTTTCCCTCAACAGATGCCTCCATTTATCAATTAACTGGACAACAATGAATACAGGCATGGTGTCATTTCCTAGCAAATGGGCCAAATCCTGCTGTTCCTCCAGTCACACCACTTCCATTAAGCTGCTTCCACACAGACTCTCTGGAACTGGAAACATAAAGTGAGACGCTTCTGACTTAGAAAAACAAACTTTCGGGATCTTTTCCTTGCCATGGTCCCTTGAAAAAGTAAATGGAGCCAAAGGAAGCATCCCAAGGTGCAGTGAGAAGCAGCAGAAATCAGCACCCACCCACCTTTCTTCTGCATGGAAAAGAACAATCCTGATGCCCTGAAGAGCTTGGGGAGGAGAAAAGAGTCCCTCGTGGTTAAAAAGAGCAGGTTTGGCAAAATGACCCAAAATCACCAGTTCCAGTTCTCTAAGGAGATTTGATCCATTCTGCCCAAACTCTTAAAAATGGCAAAGTTCACAAAGTTCACATAAACCCTCTCCCAGCAGAAGAACCAAAGTGCCTTTTGCTGGTTAGCCCCCAGAAGGGTCTGGGCTGATTTCAGTAGTGACATAAGAAAATAAAACCATAAAGTCCTGCTTAGAAATTCAGTTGTATGGGGAGGGATGGAAAAGCCACACTTGACATATTGCATTAAAAAAGATACATTTTTAAAGCTTTTTGGAGGGAGTTCTGCAAGGCAGAGTGGACAGATCTTTATGAAGTCCCAAGTTAGAGCAATGAAGTCACACTAATCTAATAATTAATTTAGGGTGAATTAATCATCTCTGATGATCCTTCCAGCTCAGGATATCATATGATTCTGTGTTTCTAGCCTAGAATTAGGCTGATCAAGAACTCAGACTGCTCTTTGTAGTGTGTTCTCATGGTGTTCCCTGGGCTGTGGGGTCTCCTTGGGAAGTGACCCCAAGGCTGAGACACTTCCACCCTCTGCACTCCCCTGTCCTTAACTCTGCAGCATCCCTGCCATTAATGACTGTTTTACCTCCTGCAGCCATGCAGGGCTCTCCTTTCCTGGCAACTAAACTTTATTTTCAGACGTTCCTGGTTGTGTTTGGACAGTTAATGCTGACTTGAGTCCCTGGTAAGTCCCTCAGGGATAAATGAGTGCCTGCTGCTCACTCCCAGCACCACAGACGAAGCTGCTGAACAGCAGGGTTAGACCTGACCTTCCCCAAATGCTGATGAAACATCAGCACAGGCTTTAGTGGAATCACTGCTGCAATTCCCATGGAAAACAGCATTTTTTTAAACCCACGGGAGAGGTTTAACCCCTCAGCCTTCTCCACACACCCCAAGCCTAGTTCAACCCTCCTGCCCACGGTGCTCAAAGGTCTGTGTGGGGCAGAAGGGCTCTTACAAACTCTTACAAACTCTCTGGGAAAGCTGCTGCTATTCCCAGACTAAGTTTGGGTCTCTAATTCTCCAACAGGGATGTAAATCCCCACGGGAATTAATGGGTTTGTCTGAGGTTTATAGCTCTGATCACCTGAAGTATCACAGAATCCCAGAATGGTTTGGGTTGGAAGGGACCCTAAAGATCATCTCATTCCACCCCCTGCCACGGGCAGGGACACCTTCCACCAGACCAGGTTGCTCCAAGCTGAACTTGGACACTTGCAGGGATGGGGCAGCCACAGCTTCTCTTTAGGGAAGTTGGAAAACTTCAGAAGTTGGTGGAAGAAGCCTTCCAGGAAATTACAGAAGGTTTTCTGGGCATTGTTACTGTTTATCAGCCAGGTTTTCCCTCTTTCTGTGCTCGGAGGAACTCACCTGCAGCAAACTCCTCCCTCCCTGCAGGACTCACGGAGAACTAAAGAATCCAAACTCATCCATCCCCCTTGCTAAACACCCCAGCAATGCCCCAGGGAGCTGTGCCACCATCCTGTGCCTGTGGGCAAAGGGGAGGGCAGAGGCACTGGAGATATCTCAGGGAAAAAGCCAGGAAAGCCTCTGCCTGGATCACCTCAGAAGGGAAAGCCAGGATGAGATCTGAGGGGAATGTGGACAAGGTTTCACCTCCCCGCTGTCGCAGCAAGCAAAGGCAAATACTGAGCTCATGGCAGTGGCAGCAGGTGAGCCAGGTCCTTATGGCCTGCCCTTGAACACCCCCTGCTCTCTCCCTTTTAATGAAAACTAAAGGACAAGGGAGAAGCCCTGTCTGAATTAAAGGTGAGGAAGGGAATTAATACCCCGTTCCTCCAAAATGCTGGATGGGAGCTGCTCGCAGGGTAAAAGTCTCTCTCTCAGCTGTGCTGTCAAGCCTGATTACGGCTTAATCTCATTTTCAAATGCCAAGCCCGGAGGATTTAGAGCTCTCCCTCCCTGCCAGCTCTCCACTGACCCAGTTTTCCAAAGGCTGTGTTTCTGGAAGGGGCTGGGAGGTGGATGTCTGAGCGTGGCTGCCCAGCCAGGCGGGCACCGCGGCCGCCGCGGCTCCGACAGCGCCGGATAATGGGATAAATCCCGCAGGGACACGCTGGTGTGACAAGCACAGCTCTGCCTGTCTGCTCTGCTCTTCCCCATCGCTGTTCCTCGTGCTAATGGGGGGATCTCAGACAGAGGAAAGGGCTGGAGACACCCTGTCTCCTGTCATCTCGCCCTCCAGCTGAAGCAGCCCCTGTTTGTGACAGCTCCCTGTCTGTAGCCCAAGTGTTGCCCCCACCACCCCTCCCTCTCTCCCAGGTACCCAGCCAGCCCAAACAACACCAGGAAAAGATGAGCTCTGGGACTGTAACCAGCAAGAAGGTTCTCCCTGCTGGGCAGGCCCCCAAGCAGAGCAGCAAGGCTCAGTTATTACCCCTGTTTCACAGAACAAACAAACCAGCGGGGTGCTTTGTCTCTGCAACAGTTTCTAAAGTCCCATTTTTGAGGCTGCTCTGTTTGACTCCAGCTTGAGGCTGCAGGCAGCAAACATCACACCAAGGATCCTGAACCTGCTTAATGGCAGCAATTCCACAGAGCAGTTCCATCAGCAGGGGCAGAGTCACCACGGCCCCTCTGCTCCAGCTTCTCATCATCACACCCAGATGTGACATCAGGGAATCGCCTCAGTGCTGTATAAAATAGATCCTCCCTTCCCAAATCCCATCTCCATGTCACTGTGTTCTTGCCTGCTTAGCCCTGGCAGGACATATCAGACATCAGAGTGCTGCTCGTTCCCCACAGACACCCTGGGACATTTTGGGGGAGGCACAAGCCCCCGGTTTCTTCTCGCCCTCAAGAGATTTTCATCTCGAAGCAGAAGAAAACAGACACTTCATGTGCCAAGTCCTGGAACACGACTGAATGCTCCCAGGGCCTGAAACCCAAGATCTAGAATTAAATTTTAAGCACTAAGTGGAGACAGGATAATTTCCAGCATTTGGAACAGCAGAGCTGGTTAAGCTGCCCTGGAGACAAAGGCACCAAGAGAATGGAGCCTCATCTACCCACCAACCCAATTTCAGCTCTTCCTTCCCCTGACCAACCACAAACCATCTGTGAAGATGTCTGAGGTACAGAGGTCCTGCTCTGACCTGACTTCAGTTATTTTTCCCACCTCATAACAGGACATCCTCGAGGAAAACACAAACTAACTCGTAATAGGACATCCTCAAGGTAAAATATAAAGTAGCTCATATAGGACATTCTCAAGGAAAACATAAACTGACTCACAATAGGACATTCTCAAGGTAAAATGTAACAATGAAAATGAAATTTCATGAAATTAAATCAAATCAAAATTTCTAACATTGCCATAAGAAGAGCGACACCAACCTGGATAACTCACCTACACGCCTTAGCCCGGGGGCTGGAAGGAGAAAAGCAATAATTCCGTTTTAAAAAGTGCAAGAGGGTGAGAATTTAAACAAAATAAGGTCTCTGTGGCAGCCCAGGAAGGATACAGTTCCCAAACAGCGTCAGGACGATGAAGTAGATGGAGGAGAACATCCCCGAGCGGACCCCGCCCTGCGACTCGATCCCGTGGTACATCACAGCATTCCAGTCCTCCCCCGTCAGGATCTGCAGGGGTTGGAGAGAGGAGAACAGGGGGTGACTTACAGGAAGGACAGAGTGGTCAGGGGGAGCCAGGCACAGTGATGCCATCTGGGAATGCTCCCCAGGGGAAAGGGGTGAGCACATGGGGGGCATCAGGCCCGGCGAGGGAGGGGATTGTCCTGCTCTGCTCTGCGCTGGGCTGGGGGCAGTTTGGGCACCACGGCACAAAAAAACATCTAAAGCTGTTCAGAGTGTCCGAAAGAGGGATGCAAAGATGGTGAAGGTGCAACCCTTCTGGGGTCTGCAACTTCCTCCAATCCCTGCTCCCTGCTGCAAAAACCAACCCAATAGAATAAGGCAAACCTCTCTCTCTCTGGAGAAGAGATGAAGAAAAGAATCAAACCTCAAAGGGTGGAGATCAATCACCTCTCTCAGTGCAGCACAGGAGGCCCCTGGATGCTGGAGCAGCAAAGTCTCCTGGAATTTCAGTTTTACCAGTCCAGGAATGATAAAGACAAGATGGAGCCAAACTTTTCTCCAAGGTGCACATGGACAAGCAAGAGGGGATGGATACAAGTAGAAACAAGGGAATTTTCAGCTGGATAATCCTGAATTCCAGGGCTTTGTAAAGTGGGGAAGCAGAGGGGCAGCTCTGATCCCTGTGAGCAGGAACAGGACCCAGGGAAGGGCTGGAGCTGTGTCAGGGCAGGGTTAGGCTGGATTTTGGGAAAAGGTTCTTCCCCCAGAGGGTGGTTGGCACTGACCAGGCTCCCCAGGGCAGTGGGCACAGCCCCAAGGCTGCCAGAGCTCCAGGAGGGTTTGGACAACGCTCTGAGGGCCAGGGTGGGATTGTTGGGGTGTCTGTACAGGGCCAGGAGCTGGACTGGATGATCTTGCCCTTCTGGGTTCCCTGCCTGCTGCCCAGCTCTGCCCAAGGGCTCTCCCCCAGGCAGAAGCAGCAAAAGCCACATTCCAACACGTCACTCCCAGCACAATTTCTCCCCCTTCTCCATTTTCAAGTCATGCAGAGACACCAGGTTTCAACAGCACCGTTCCTGGCACTTCCCACAATCCTAAGCAAACTCTTGAGCTCTAATGCCCTGAGTGGGAGCTCTGTCAGCTCCAGCTCCACTCATCCCCTTCCTACAGAAGGGTTTGGGTTGCTCAGCTCCCCCCACCCCACACACACCGTACCCAAGGAGCAGCTTTGTCACCTCTCCCACCCCTGCCCTGCTCCTCGGGGCTGCAGAGAGCCCTGCTCAGCTGGGACAGGGATGGGCACCACTCCCACTGCCAGGCACTGGCACCACCACCACTGCAGGGCTGGCACAGTACAGGTTCTTCTCCAGTTTTCCCAAGTTTGACCCAGATGGCCACAAAACACATAAAAAAAACCCCAACCCCTAAGGAGAAGCAACAACCACTGTATGAGAGAGGACAGATGAGGGAAGTTGGAGGGGCCTCTGCTCCTCCTGTGTCCTTGTGCAGGGACAGGAGGAGCCACAGCCCAGCCCTGCAGAGCTGAACATTGACCTGGGACTAACTAACAAACACATAAATAATAGGAAAATTAATCAGAACACATGAAAACACCTCAGCCTCAAGCAAGCCTTGATGCTAATTTTGTACCAGTCTCACTTGCTCATCACTGAGTGTGACATTCCTGCCATTCCTGCTCAGCACTGACTGAGGCACAGCAACATTTTGGGCAGAGCAGCCCTTCCCTCGCCTGCCGGGGCACAGTCAAACAATCCCGTGGGATGTGAAGCTCAAATTCCTAAATAGGAAGTTGTCTTTGTGTTTAGTAGGGGGGAAAAAAAAGGCAAATGAAAAGGCCACAGCACGGTGGGTGTTGTGATCCAGTCCCATGTGCACGTGGAAGGGGAGGTTTTAGAAAGGAATCCAAAGCCCAAACATTGACCCAAAATTTGTAGTTCAGGGGAGGAGGAGGATGGACCAAGAGCAGGGATTATCAAAATGCCTCTGGGATATTATTATTATTATTATTATTATTATTATTATTATTATTATTATTATTATTATTATTATTGGCATCATTATTATTATTGGCATCATTATTATTATTATATTTTAACAAATAAATAATAATATTTATTATATTTATTATATGATTACTAATGCTATTGTTATAATATAATAATATATAATTGGCATAATAAATATTATTATTATATGTAATATGGAATTGTATATTATCTAATAACCATTAATATAGTAATATAATTCTATGTAACCTAATATAATTATCATTATAATAATCAATATAAAAATAACATTATTGTTTTGTTATCATACCATATAATAATATATAATTAATGCAATGGTTATTAATTATATATATTGCACCTAATATATATTATATAATAATTATTAATATATCATGTGTGGTATATAATTATAATAATCAGGTAATGTAAAAATTTTATTATTATTATTATTATTATTATTATTATTATTATTATTATTATTATTATTATTATTATTATTATCNTGTGTGGTATATAATTATAATAATCAGGTAATGTAAAAATTATTTTTTATTTTTATTTTTATTATTATTATTATTATTATTATTATTATTATTATTATCCAAATGCTGCACTCAGTTAATCAAGTGCTGATGGGTTTTGCTGGTTTTAATTCACAGCTCTGACATTCTGGACAAATGTCCTAAACCCAACAGCATTTTCCTTCCCCCCACAGGGTATTTATCTCAAGGAAATATTTCAGCTAAATATTCTCAGGGACAACTGTATTCCCAAAGCAAAATCCCATCAACATTCCCGAGCCTGACTGGGGCTCAGCCCCTGCTCGCTGGCAATACCTTTTGGTATCTTGAAGCCCTTTCTTGGCTGAGCACTCAAATCCTGTGCAAATATTAATTTGCAGTATCCTGGAGGTCAGGGCAGAACCTGCTCCCCAGCTGGGGGAGAAGCAACCCCCACGGGAAGAGCTCACAGGGCACGTTTGCTTTTGGGTTCTTTGTGTTAATCCAAAAATTGTCGTCAGTCTCCCCCTTTTTTTGCCCTTTTTGGGCCATGGCACTGAAATACAAAATACCTGAGTTAAACCTCGCTGAGCTCTGTGAAAGTTGGGCTGAGGGGTGAAGCCTCAGCTCGAGCCCACCCCAGGAATTTGGGTGGGACGAGGTTACAAACGCTGGGCGGGTTCCACAGGCCTGGGAGGGTCACCTGCACACGGAGCAGCAGCCCCAGCTTTTACTGAAACACCTGAAGTGATTGTTTTTAAAAAATAATTGTTTTTTTTTTTTTTTAATTTTTTTTAAAATACAAAAATTGTATTTAAAAAATGCAAGATTAAATACAAAAATTATATTTAAAAAATACAAAATTAAATACAAAAATTGTATTTAAAAAAGACACGAAGAAAACAGGTGAAAAATGAAGCTTTTCAATCCCAGCCCCTCCCAGAGCTGGGAGTCCCTCCTGCCTTCTCCCGAACCCGCCCGAGGCCGGTGCCTCTCTCGTGGAAGGCAATTCTCACCCAGCATTAACTTCTCTGGAGTTATTACTGGGCCAAATGCTGCATTATTTCCCTGCTGCCTGCAGCTCCCTCAGGCCTCTCTGCTCATTAAATTATGGCAAAAGTGCAGCAGGTCAAGCACTGGCTCATTCCAGGATCCACAAGCCAGAGCTGCCATCCCAGGGCTGGGAGGCAACAGCCTGGGCACACACAGACTTCAAGAACAGCACAGAAATACCAATTTTATCAATTTTTTTTTCTTCCTAGCAAAAAATCTTTTGTTCTAGTTTTCTTCAATTCCATAGCGTCGATTTTTAATTTGATTTTTTTAATGATGTGTTGATCGAGCGGCAAAGCAAAACACGCGAGAAGGAAGGGCTTCTTTCCTAAATCCCACAGATTTTTGAGGACCTCTTTGCCTTCCATAAGCAAGAGGAGATGCCCAGGAATTCCTCTTCTAACCCTGCCCCAGGCCAAGGTGTGGCTTTACCTGGAACACGGTGAGGATGGCGGCGGGGAAGGTGTCGAAATTCGTGGTCGGAGTTTCGTCTTGGAAATTGAACCTGGAGAGAAAGGAGAAATCAAAAGCGGAGCAGTGAGGGCCAAGCAGCTCCCAGGCATCTCCTAATCCCCTGGAAAGCTCCAGAAACCCAGTCAGGGAGCAGCATTTGTTCCACCTGGCAATAACAGCCCAGGCAAGCACAGCAGGGAACACGGTGTCTCTGAGAAGGTGCTCAACAGGACCATTAGCAGGAACTCAATCTCATTCCCAGAGAAAATTCGGATGCTTCGAAATCCATTTGCAGCCACAATTAAAATGAACAATCCAAATCTCAAAATGATTTTCGCCGAGCAACCCGTTCCAAGAAGTTTTCGTCCTCCGGTGAGAAAGCCCAAATTGAAATTACCCTCTTAGTAGATAATTTCTTTTTAATATTTTAAAGATATAATAGCAATTGACTGAGGGGGGGAAAAAAGAAAAAAAGACCAAATAAAACCGTGTTATTTCATTTCAGAATCGATGCTGGGGTTTAAATGATAATACTGTGATATTTCGTGCTGCAAAATTCACCACAAGTGGCATTTCTAATGAGAATAATCAGATTCAACAGCACCGTGTTTTCCAGCAGAAAAATATTCCAAGTGAATAAATACATTGTCACCCTGGATATCGGGGAAAGGATTTGCCTTTTCCTTAATAAAAAGTGATGCCTTCCCCAGGCCTGTTTCTTTATGGGGGCATGTGGGGACTGTGGGATGACAAAAGGGGCTTTGAATTAGGGTTGTTCTTTCTTAGGGAAGAGTTCAGCTCCAGGTAAAACACTGGAACAGGAACTATTTTCCTATAAACTTCTCAGCAGCCCAGGAAGACTGAGAGTGCAGCAGGATGTGACCCTTCCAGCCCTGCAGCCCCAGGATGAATAATTACACTTACTGTCCTCCAAAGAGCTGCATCCCCAGCAGAGCAAAGACCACGATGAACAGGAACAGCAGGAAAAGCAAACTGATGATGGACTTCATGGAGTTCAGCAAGGAGACCACCAGATTCCTCAGGGAATTCCAGTACCTGTGGTGGAGATCAGAGCAGCCAAGAGAGAACGTGAGTGGGGGAAGAGCCTTTGGTGAGAAACTAATATGAATTATCTCCCGAGCGACAGGACAAGAGGAAATGGCCTCAAGTGGCCCAGGGGAGGTTTAGGTTGGATATTAAGGCAATATTTCTTCCTGGAAAGGGTGGTGAGGCATTGGCACAACTGCCCAGGGCAGTGGTGGAGTCCCCATCCCTGCAGGGATTTAAAAACCCTGTGGATGTGGCTCTTGGGGACGTGGGTCAGTGGTGGCCTTGGCAGTGCTGGCCAACAGCTGGGCTTGATGATCTTGAAGGTCTGTTCCAACCTGACTCCATGATTTTCTTATTATAAAACAGGAGAAGAATGACAAGGAATATCAGCCTCTTTAAGCTCCCTTCTGCTGTTGGAAAACACGGCTCACGGAGTGGAAAATCTCTTGGAGCATCCTGAGGGCAGAGGTGGTCACTTGGTGTGTGTGCACCCACACTGAGTTGTGTGCAGTGAATGTTTGGATTAGTTCCTCCTCTATCCCCTTTCCTGGGATAGATTTTGACCTCTTGGCATCTTCTCATCCAGCACAGCAGCCAGATGAGAACTAAAATGCCCCGAATCAGCAGGGGTGTCAAAAGTGTATCGACATCATGAAGGTGACACTGAAGGTGTCACAGCGAATCCAGCTCTCCATAACACACAAATCAGGAATAAACACCTCATTCCCACCAGGACATCTTTGTGGTGTGTCCTTCCAACCCACCCAACGCCAGTATCAACCAGTGGATTTAAATTCCCACGTGTGTAAACGTTCCTGTAGGAGTTTCACACCCACATCAGTGCCCAGCCATGCCTTTGGTGTGGGGAAATTCAGCTGTCCAGGACAGAGCCTTGGAGAGAACAAATCCGGGATGATAATTCCGACGTGGCAAGAGGGAATTCAGGCTCAGCCTGAATCCTGACTGACACATCCAAGTCACATCTGGCCAGATACTGAAGATGGTTTGGTTTTGCCTCCTCTGTGCCCGGAGGCAGCTCCTGGCACACCCACAGGCAGGAATGTGGAGTGATGGCAGTGCTGGGAGGGGTCTCGGAAACAGCTCTTTCCTGGCTTTATTGCCCTGCTGAGAGCAGGCAGGGAGGGTTATATCAGGAAAACTAATGAGTCAGGAAATGCTGAAAGAGCTGGGCAGCTCTTTGATGAGCTCCTTTTGGACCTGGATTCTTGTGGAACAACGGGGTCGGAACAGGCAGCGGGAAAGGAGTGATCTGGAGCCATTTCACGTGTCCTCTGCTCAAAGTTGGGAGTCTGAGGCCACGGGGGAGGAATTTTTCCCTCTTTTTCTCCATTGGTTTCTCTCATTTCCACTGCCTGGCACTGGGAGCTGCCCTGCAGAGCTGAATGCCTGCCCTGAATGTCCTCCTGCTGCAGTTTGGGGATGGATCCACACCCTGAGCTCATTCCTGCAGTGTGGCTGTGGGTCCCCAGCAGAAGGAAGCCCCTGGATTTGTCAGATCTGCTGATATGGAGAGAAACTAAGAGCTGGAGTCACCATCCCCTTTCCTTTGTCTTTGCTTTCCCCCTCTTCCTTCCCCCAGGTGTAGCTGGGAGGACTGAACCACCCCATGTTCCTCTGTGCTGGTGGTGATACAACCACGTCCATCCCAGGAGAAGTAGGGTCTTACACTCCCATTCCAAGAAAATTGACTTCCATAATACAGTGACAGAGGTTTCAGGATAAACTCTGGTCTCTCAGGAGAATATCTCCAGTGGAAATGTTGCAACCAAACCTGCCCAGGGTCAGTCCCAAAGCAAAAGGGGCTGGGCTGACTCTCCTTGGAGAGGGAGGGTTTGCTGCTCCCACAGCTCTCCCAAGCTGGACACAGCAGTTTCAGACCAAACCTGCCTCATCCAAGGGCTTCACACCTCACAGGGAGCACAACTGGACCCAAAATCCATGGGAGATGGAGGCTCTGCCTTGTCCTGGAATAGCTCAGCACCAAACCCTGACCCAGAGCACCAGGATATTCTGAGGAGCTGCATTTCTGCAGATGCCAGTCCCTGTTCAGCTCTGCCAGGGCAAAGACAAACACATGAAGCTGGTTTGCCCTTGTTTTCCCTGTTGAATTTTAGCCCCTCTCAGTCTGTATCCCCTCCTGGTGGATCCTGCTGGCACCTTTCAGGCCGGCTGGAATTTCACTTTTTAACTCTTGCTGTCCATGGTCACTGTGATTTAAGACTGGGATTGAAAAGGTCTCATCCCATTGATAATTCAAAGCAGGACGTGCTGTCCATGGTCACACTGATTTGGGATGTGGGAATCAAAAGGTCTCATCCCACTGATTATCCAAAGCAGAATCTCCTGTCCATGTTACACTGATTTGGGACATGGGAATGAAAAGGTCTCATCCCACTGATTATCCAAAGCAGGAGGATTGAGTTTTAGCTCAGTTGGTTCAGACTTGGTTCTAAGAACACCAAGGTCAGGTTCAATCCCCTGTTTGGGCCATTCACTTAAGAGCTGGACTCAATGATCCTTGGGGGTCCCTTCCAAATGAGAATATTCTGGGATTCTGGGACTGCAATTGGCTTCTGCTGAACACGGAGGGAAAATAAACCAGGGCAGGGAGTTGCAGAGAGAAATTCCTACGGAAGAGAAGGAGACAGGAAACTCCTGAGGGTCAGGGTGTTCTCACAGCAAAGGCTGCAATGAGAGAGCGTGGGCAGAATCTCTGCCTGGTGGCAGCACTTTGGTGGCTCTCATGAGTCATGAGAGGACTGAGCTGTGCAGCTCCAACCCCGGGATAATGTGGGATCATCCCGTGGGAGCCGCAGGGACGTGGCTGCTGCTCATGCAACGAGCACAGTCCTGTCGTGTCAGGTGAAAATTCCACATAATCAGGTCAAGGGAACATCAGGATCAGGGGGGTGACAATGGCACTGATGTCCTGAGAAAGGGGGACCCCCGGGCTCGGTTTGTTAAGTTAAATCTCTTCTCTCAAGGAACGAGCAGTAGGACAAGAGGGAACAGCCTCAAACTGTGCCAGGGGAGGGTTAGGGTGGATATCAGGGAAAAGTTCTTCACTGAAAGGCTTGTCCAGGCCTGGCACAGCTGCCCAGGGCAGTGGGGGAGTCACCATCCCTGCAGGGACTTAAAAGCTGTGGGGCTGTGGCCCTTGGGGACAGGGGTTAGTGGTGGCCTTGGCAGTGCTGGGGGAACGGTTGAATTTGATGCTCTTGAAGGTCTTAAAGGTCTTTTTCAACCTAAACAGTTCTTGTGATTCATCCCTTGATCCTGCTGGCTAAAAGGAATAGTCAAAACTCACAAAAAAAAATAAGATTTTACCTTCCAAAAATGGCCAGAATTTTGAAAAAGCACAACACACAATCAGACACAGCAAACCTCAGTAGCTGGGGATAAAATTATCTGCTGATGGTTCATGGCTCTGAGTTTCCTACAAAACCAGGAGCTTCCCATACATAAGATTAGTGCACAGGTAAACTACAGTGACACTTTTGGTGCAGGTACCCACCTGTTTTACCAGACAATCACAGAACTTAATGTTTCCACCCCCTTTTCCCAGGAGTACAACACCTGACGCTGCATCACACACAAATCTGGGATCTGCACAATCCTTAACAGATACAAACCAGCAAACCCCCCAGGGGCAACAAAACCTGGGCCCTCAAACAGCTGCCAAAGCACCAGGTGACTTCCAGTGATTGGTTTGTTCCTTATTTATTTCAGGCAGTTGTGCACCAGGGGTGTTTTTGGCAGGAGTTCTTCTTCCTCCTCCTGTTACTTCAAGCCAAGGAGAGTTAAGGGAGTGATGGAAAGAAGGGAGAGCCGAGGAGGCAACGGTGGAAAAAAAATAAGGTGGAAAACAACAGCAGGGGCACCTAAATATGTCATCAGTTTGCACACCAGGGCTTGGAAAGCCTGCAGAAATGGCTCTAGATGGGTTTCTAAATGGCACAGGAGCTGTTTGCTGATGCCAGAGCACATTAACGTGAGGCAGGAGCACGAAAACAAGGGAAAAGCTGTGGCAACACCACTCCAGTGAAAATTCAACCTCCCAGCCGTGCCCAGAGCAGGCACAGCACAGGCAGCAGCAAAACTCTGCCTATTTGTGTCAACACAGGGGCTCAGGCAGCAGGATTTAGCAGCCAGCAATACCCAGGGAATTTGGTTTTCCAGTTCCCAAATCCTTCAGGAGCAGCAGATAAGGACAGTGAGCAGCTGATGGGACTTAGAAAGTCAATAAGGAATTTGTTTCTTTTACCACAAGAGCTAAGGGGTAACGGAATGAGGGTTTTGTTTTAAACAAGCTTAGAAACAAAGCAAAAAAAAGGATATTTTCCTGCAGCCCATCATTACACTGTGGAACTCTCTGCCCAAGGGCAGAAAAGCCTGTACACGAGGCTAGGGGAAAAAAGGTCTGTTAAAAATCTTTGTGGATGCAAATACAGGCTCGGGAACTCCCAAAATTTCCAGCTGCCACAAAACCCCCATTGCCCAGCCGAGGAAAAGGGCAATTCTGCATCTGCAGTTCCCTTCTGCTCCTGCTCCCATCAGGACCAACCTAATGGGATGTCAGGACAGACAGGGGTTTTGTGCCAGCAAAACCAGGGGTTTGGGGCATTGGGTTTTTTTTTTTGTTTGTTTTTTTTTTTTCCCTCCAGCTTCTGGTAATTTATTTATTTATTTATTTATTTATTTATTTATTTATTTATTTATTTATTTATTTAATATAAATATATAACAATAAATAAAAATATCAACAAAACCACTCCTCCTTGCTGTGGGGTTGGTAATCCAGATTTCATGTGGTGCTAGAAGGCTGCTGTGAGAGTGAAAAGGGAGCTGGACTTACTTTGTTACTTTGAAAATCCTCAGCAGTCGAAGTGCCCTCAATACACTGATGCCAAATGAGGTTCCTGGTTTCACTGCAGCCCAAATAACTTCAAATATGCTTCCCACGATGACCTGCAAGAGGAAGGTTGGTTTTTTAATATCCATAAGGCAAAACTTCTGCTTATTTCTCTGTTGTGAGGCTGGGGAAAGCCCAGGAATCAGAGCTCAGGCTGTGATGGTTTTCTTAGGAAAACTTCAGGAAAATCAGAAATTGGCCAAGAGCACTAATTTAACCAAGAACACTGGAAATCCTTATCCCAACTTTCTGCAGCCCAAACTGAAAAAGGGCAATACCCAGCAGCAGAACACATTGGGATCTCCTATACCCAGTCAGGAACTTGTGGCTTTTTCTCCAGCAATCAAACTGCCTTAAAATAACCTTTTTGGAATGACACTGTGCTTTATTATTGTATTTTTTTAACACTGGCTCAACTGCAAATGCCAACACTTTGTTTTCCCGCCCCACACGGTGGTTCTGTGCAGAGATCCAGGGGGGCACTGCCCCGTCCGCCCCTGCCCACCAGAAGGACCAAAAACCTTCACCTGCAGCAGAGCAGTGAAGCTCTGGGTGAGATCCACCAGAAACTTCTGGCAACCGAGAGTGTTTAGGAGGGCAATTAAAGCAATTGCTGCTGTGAGACCCGGCAAAGCCTCCAGCACACACATCCAACCAGCTGCCTCGGGGGATTGACAAAGTCGTCCCAAATCGAGGTGGATTTTTTTAAGTTCCGTTTTGTTGGCTGGGGGGGGGTTTAAGGACGGCAGGGAATTAACCCGGAGCAATGGAAACAAAACCTTCTGAGACATCCTTCATTACCAAAAGGACAAAGCAGCAATGGGTTAAGCACAGCTGGAAAGGGCAATTATCTCCACGCAGGTTGCTGCACAGTTAATAAGATAAAACAGGCATTTCGCTGCCAATTGCTGTTATTGCTCACATTAACCCGGCCTTTCAGAGCTCCCACTGCCCCCGCTCCCCGGGTGGGCAAAACACACCCTAAACACGCTCAGCAGAACCCAGCAAACAGCTGGTTTGTGCTGGGGGAGGGAATGTTAACAGGGAGCCAGGGCTGGGGCTGATACCTGCAAGAAACGCTCTGCCCCGAGCTTCAAAAAAAATCAGGTACGCGGCAGTTGCTCATCCCTTTTGTCCCATCCGAAAAAGAAGGAGCTAAAACTCCTCACTCTTGGGAATCCCTCGTGAATCAGCAAAACCCTTCCCTTGGACCCTCCACATGTTACACTGATAATTAATTATCTCGGCATCCCAGCAGGGCCTCCTGGGAGCCCGTTTCACAGGAGAGCCCTCTGGACTGGTACTCCCGAGGCTGATGTTGCTCTGATTTGTTGTTTCGCTTTTTGCATTTGAATGGTCTCGTCTCGACGGTTTGTCAGACTAAACCGGCTACAGAGCTGGGTGATGTTCTGGGAGGGGGGGTGAAGCCGCAGAATTAATTCTGGGGGCTGGAAGGTGGGTGAGGAGGAAGAAACGCAGCCAGAAGTAGGATCCCTGTGGATTCTCCGGAGGAGGAAGAATTAAAAACAGATCAACAGCTTGAACCTCCTGGGAAACACTCACAAAGCTCGTTGCCAGCGCTGCACACAGAGAGACACTGGGGGGTTTATCTTTGGCTGAGTGCAAGCTCCTAAATCACCTGTCCCTGACTGGCAGGTGCAAGGGCTGGTCGTGGAAGGAGCATCCCGGACACAGGGATCCAAGGAAACTCGCAGCCAGCTTGGAGCTCACCTAATCCATTGGTGAAAGACATCAAGCTGTCACCAGGGAATTTAAACAAGGCAGTGATATGAGAAATAAAAATATGGTTTTTATATTATGAGAAATAAAAATACAGTTTTTATATTATGAGAGATAAAAATACTTTATATATATATATATATATATATATATAGGCATATCGTGAAGTTGTGAGATATCCAAGTTCCACGGACTGAACTTGGGTATCAGGGTCCTTTTCGGCCAGAGAAGGGCAATGCAAAAGTTCCTAAAAATTAAAATCTTTTGGGGCCATGTTTTACACGAGGTTCCTTTTCTCTTTGGGCTAAGAACAAGGGAAGATCCGTCATCTTCGACAGAGGACGCCTCGCAGCCAATTGGAAGGAAGGGAAAGCCTCTTCTTCTGAGAAAACAAACTTTTTTAGGCAAAAGTGAATATATTAAAATTACCTGAAAAAGGGTGGGATATTGTGAAACTATAAAATGTATGGAATTTAAACCCAAAGGGTCTTCTTCCCTGGAAATTCGATGAGAGAAAGACCCGGCGCGCTGAATAAATTCTTCCTTGTTTCTTTGTTCCCTGAGTTTGTGCAGTCTTTCTGCATTTAAAAGAGGGATTTTTCCCACACAGGTGATCCCTGGGGTGGGGGCTTTCATCTCAAAGTCAGTTCACTCTGAGCTTTCCAGCCAAGAAGAGAGTGAGTTGGCTCTACTTGTAGCCTTGGATTGAGGAGAGGTCACTAACCGAAGGTGAGAATTCCTCCTCCCTCCTGGGAATTTTGCTCCGTGGGGGAGGAGAGTCACTCCCAGCATTCTGGCAGACAAAGAGTAGAACCAGCAGACTGAATCTTAGAGAGCAGGGCTGGATGACGTGCACAGTGACCTGAACTGTTGTCCCCTTGCCCCTGGCTGTGTCGAGAGCTTCATATCTGCTTTGGTACAGAAACCTCCCAGCCCCAATCCTGCTCTGCCCACGCCGAAGATAAGAGGAGCCAAGTTATCCTCTGTGAGGACAGATTACAGCCTAATAGCTTTTAATGAATAAATTACCATCCACACGCCATGTCCTTTGTTAGATGGAGCCAAAAGCAGCCCCACTATTCACACTTCAGAGCTGTAGTTTGAGCCTGGACTGTGTCCAGTTCTGGCCCCTCAGTTCAGGAAGGACATTGAGGTCCTGGAGCAGGTCCAGAGAAGAGCAACAAGGCTGGGGAAGGGACTGGAGCACAAGTGCTGTGAGGAGAGGCTGAGGGAGCTGGGGGTGCTCAGCCTGGACAGGAGGAGGCTCAGGGGAGACCTCCTCACTCTCTGCAACTCCCTGCCAGGAGGGGGGAGCCGGGGGGGGGTTGGTCTCTTTTCCCAGGCAATGATCAGCAAGACAAGAGGGCTGAGTCTTAAGTTGTACCAGGGGAGGTTTAAGTTGGATATTAGGAAGAATTTCTTTGCAGAGAGGGTGCTCAGCCATTGGAATGGGCTGCCCAGGGCAGTGGTGGATTCTCCATCCCTGGAGGTTTTTAAGATGAGACTGGATGTGGCATCAGTGCCATGGGCTGGGAACCACAGCAGTGTTGGATCAAGGGTTGGACTTGATGATCTCAAAGGTCCCTTCCAACCCAGCTGATTCTATGATTCTGTGATTCTGGATGTGAGTTATTGCCTTCCTGTCACAAATCCTGGGTTTACTCTTCTCCTTCTGGGCACTGCAAAGAGCTGCCTGTGCATCTTGAGGGTTCAAGGGCTGACAGAGGAGATGAGCAGGAGGATGTGTGGGTTTTTTGTCTTTTTTTTTGTCTTTCAATCACCTCATTTAAATGGGAGGGAGAATCTCCCGGCAGTCAGAGCATTGGAACACCCCGGAGTTTGCCGAGGAAATGAAACCCCCGGCTGTCACTTTGCCTCATAAAGGGATGATAAGGAGGGGAAGCTTAATGTGTTAACTGCAGTTAATTTATGCAACCATTGCTCCCTGCAGAAGAAACACTCCCAGCACCATTTCCCATGGATTGCCACACCCACCCTGGAATGCCCAACCTGCTGGATGACAGGAGGGCCACACAGGGACTTTTTTCAAGGACATGGAGTGCCAGGACAAGAGAGAATGGTTTCATGCTTAGACTAGATGAGGGAAGGAATTCTTACCTGTGAGGGTGGTGAGGCCCTGGCACACATTGCCCAGAGAAGCTGTGGCTGCCCCATCCCTGGAAGTGTCCAAGGCCAGGTTGGACAGGGCTTGGAGCAACCTGGGCTGGTGGAAGGGATGATTTTAAGTTCCCTTCCAACACAAAGTCTTCTGTGATTCATCTTACTCACCCCAAAGTCAAAGCAGTTGAATGAAGAGTGGAAGTAGTTCCTTGGCCCCAGTCCATACATCTTCAAAGACATCTCAGTAAGGAACAGCCCCAGGAAAACAAACTCTGCGAAATCTGGAAACAGGGAACAAGAGATTAAATTAGTCCATGAGACCTCAGTGGGCAGATCCCTTCATGTGGGGAACAATGGTATTTTTGCACAACCCAGAGTGACTCCTGGCAGAAGAAAATCCCTCTGCAATGGCAAACAAGACCCAGAGGAGAGTTTCCCATCATTATTTCTGTGTGTCCATGAGCTGTGAGCAGCCTTCAGGAGCTGTGCTGTGGGATGGTGGCATGAGCATTAAATAATATGCTCACTGGTTTTTTAAAGGAATTTCAAAGGAAACCTCTGGATCTACTCTTTCTAAAGGTCTAATTTAATTGCACAGATAATGTTTTGCAGTGATGTGTTTGGGCCTTCTGTACTCACAAGAGATGGACACTTTTGGGTGTGGGGTGTTGAGTTTCTGTAACATCCTCTGCTGATAAAAATACCTTCCTACCCAACAGAACTGCTGACTCTGAGGGCTCATATTCAGAGGTGTTGTGTCTACTGTTACCACATTTATTTTTATTATGCCTTTATAGCCCTATAACTGTGGAAGAACAAGTTCTGTTTCCTTTGGCTTCACATATCGCAGGCAAATAAGCTGTGAAGCTTCTGATGGGAAAATTTATCACCCATGATGAAACAAAGGGCTGGAGACTTCAATTTCTAGCTGAAGTTTTCAGGACTTGAAGCTACAGAAAATACCACCTTTGGCATTTTAAGTTTGGATCTGGAGGCCAATTAGCAACAGCAAGAGTAAAACGTTAAAAACAAACAAAAAAAAAGGCGCAAAAAACGCCTCCAGTACCAAAACCAACCCAATAGAATAAGGCAAACCTCTCTCTCTCTGGAGAAGAGATGAAGAAAAGAACCAAACCTCAAAGGGTGGAGATCAATCACCTCTCTTAGTGCAGCACAGGAGGCCCCTGGATGTTGGAGCAGCAAAGTCTCCTGGAATTTCAGTTTTACCATTCCAGGAATGATGAAGACAAGATGGAGCCAAACTTTTCTCCAAGGTGCACATGGACAGGCAAGGGGGGATGGATACAAGTAGAAACAAGGGAATTTTCAGCTGGATAATCCTGAATTCCAGGGTTTTGTAAAATGGGGAAGCAGAGGGGCAGCTCCGATCCCTGTGAGCAGGGACAGGACCCAGGGAATGGCTGGAGCTGTGCCAGGGGAGGTTTAAGCTGGATTTTGGGAAAAGGTTCTGCCCCCAGAGGGTGGTTGGCACTGACCAGGCTCCCCAGGGCAGTGGGCACAGCCCCAAGGCTGCCAGAGCTCCAGGAGGGTTTGGACAACGCTCTGAGGGCCAGGGTGGGATTGTTGGGGTGTCTGTGCAGGGCCAGGAGCTGGACTGGATGATCCTTGTGGATCCCACCAAAGGTATTCCATGATTTTGTTATTCCACGATTTTATCTTTCCATGACTTCCTGCAACATGTGGCTTCAGCTGATGAGTGTGAGGAGGGAATGAGGGTCCTTCCAGAGTGCCTGGATTTCCCTCCACCCTCACCCTCCACGTTCAAGTGGAGTGAGCACAGTTGGCCCAGGGCCCGTTTTGCACTGCTGGGTGTCTTTGGACATTGCTTGGAAAATACAGCTTCAATTAGCAACCAATTAAAAGGGGGGTTAAATCTTAAATGACAGACAGTCCTGGAATATCATGGGCATAAAGTGAACTGAGATCCAGGAAGCTTTAATGACATGAGAAAGGTTTTATTAACACCTCAGTGAGGAGCCTGCAAGGACACTTCTGCCAACATTTGCACAAGGGGAGGAAATACCAGGAGAGGATGAATTGTACTGTGTCACCTCCTGTCCTTGAAAGCAGGAGCAAAGTCATCAAAGGAGAATATAAGGGCAGTGTGTTCACATTGGAGGAATAAGATGACAAAGCAGGAGATCTGCAAAGTTCTCAGCCTTTTTCCTGCCAAGAGGCAGCTCCATCCTCTGGATCTCATGGTCACATGGAGGAGCAGCACAGCTCCATCTCACTTGGAGCTTGGAACCTGCCAGGAGAAGCCTGGTCACCCCTGCACCAACTTGCCTCTCCTTTCTGACATCAGCTGCAACAACTCAGTGAGAAAACAGTTGTTTCTAATACAAGGGATCCCAGAGTAGGGAATTATCCATAAATATGCTGATAATCCATCCAACTATCCATCTCTCTGCTCAGGTGAGACCCCTCCTGCAGAGCTGCCTCCAGCCCTGGGGTCCAATGCCAGGGGGACATGGAGCTGTTGGAGCAACTCCAGAGGAGGCCACGGAGATGCTCCAAGGACTGAAGCCCCTCTGGAGCCAGGCTGGGAGAGCTGGGGGGGTTCACCTGGAGAAGAGAAGGCTCCAGGGAGAGCTGAGAGCCCCTTCCAGGGCCTAAAGGGGCTCCAGGAGAGCTGGAGAGGGACTTTGGTTTCACACTCAGCAGAGCTCAGGCAGCCCAATGGTGTCATTGGAATGACTTCCATGGGAAGTCTCCCTATCCCGAGGATTGGTGTCAAACCAATGCTTTGAAGTCGGTGGCCTTGTTTAATTAGCTGATAAAAAATCACAGGGAGAGGTTGTAGATCCTACAGAAAGCACAGCACAGCCTCCACCTGGGTCATGGCTCAGTCTGGCAGGACATTTTCACCCTCTTTGTCCACCAAACTCACCTTGCAGAGTTACATGTCAGGGCCACCCCATTTTCTTCCACAGAGTAACAAAAATCCTTGTAAGTGTTTTTTAAGTGTAATTCTCACCAGCAGATCCCAGTGCACTTTGCCAAGACAATTATCACCATTTCAAAAGGATAAAAGAAACAAGGATTAATGGTCAGTCACCCATCCAGCAGAAGGGTGAATAAAACCAGGTGTCAGCAAGTGCAATGTTCCATCATCAGACTGACACACCCTGCAAACACACGTGCAAAGCCAGAATATCAGAGGAGAAAAGAGCTGGGAAATGGCCTTTCTAAGCAAAACAGATCCAAGAAATCTTTGGTTATGTTAAAAAGAAATAAAATAAAGACAAGGGGAAATGTTTAAAACTCAGAGCATCTCAAAAGGCAATTTCCTTCTGCTGCTCTTGAAAGAGCCCCACTCGTCCTTTCACAGCTGATGGATCCCATCAGGATCAGAGCTCAGAACTGGCAGCAGGAGCTGCATCTCAGCAGGCACCAGATGCTACAAATCACAGCCCAGTGAGGACAAGGGATGAAGGCAAGGAAAACACAGACCCAGAGAACTCCTCGGGCAGAAGGGACTGACTGAGTGAATCAGCTGCTGCAGCAGGAGGATCAGACACACAGTTCCTTCTGAGGTGGCCCTGCCTATGTAATTGAAAAAGCAATTTTGTTGTTTGGACCTCCTGGTATTCAGACCCCACGTGTAATCCAATCTGCCTTAAGCAGAAGCATTTTGTGATGTGATTGAAGGAGGAAAAGTTTGATACAAACAGTCTAATTTAATTTCAGATTTGTGCTATTGGCAAAGGCCAACACACATTACATCCCATCACCCCACGTGTTTGAATTTGACAGTTCCCAGCTCCTTTTGGTCAGTCACCCAGGGATTAATTCCATTTCTGCCCCATCTCCAAGTCCAATGTCTTTAGAAGCAGGTGCTGAGCCTGACACTTTGGTTTCCTCTCCTCATCCTCCTCACACTTTAAACCAACCAGGAGAACCTCAAAGCACAACTTCCTCCTCTTTGACCAAGCAGATGTGAAATGCTCAGCAGACATAAGTAAATATGCTTCAGAAAGCCTTTTCCTTGCAAATTCTCTCTTTGGATATCCAGAGGGAGCTGGTCACCAACTTCAAAGGCAACCACAGCATCAAAAAAGGCCCAATTGCCCCAAACACATAGTTTTGGCAAGGCAAGCTGTTCTCATGCCATGATGGTTAAAAAAGTGTTTGCAAATATTGTGTTCATCAGAAAAGACACACTCTGGATTTTGCTTTTAGACAGACATAAATTAAGGAGCCAGTTAAGGATCCCTGCAGTTTTATTTGGAGAAAAAAGGAGAGTTGCTTCATGAAGGGAATCAAAAAAGACCTAATAGGCCCTAAACACTGGTTCAGCCTTACATGGCAAGGGAAGGTGTTCTCAGGCCATAATGGCTAAAATATTGTTTTCAAATATTGTGTTTATCAGAAAAGACACACTCATGGGTTTTTTTTAGACAGACACAAATTAGGGAGCCAATCAGGAATATTTGCAGTATTAGTTGGAGAAAAAAAGGAGAGTTGCTTCATGAAGAGCATCAAAAAAGGCCTAATTGGCCCCAAAAACATGGTTCAATCTTGTGTAGCAAGGGAAGGCATTCCCAGGCCATAATGGTTAGAAAAACATTTTCAAATATTGTGTTCATCAGAAAATACACACTCTGGGTTTTACTTTTAGACAGACATAAATTAAGGAGCCAGTTAAGGATCCCTGCAGTTTTATTTGGAGAAAAAAGCAGAATTTCTTCATGAAGGGAATCAAAAAAGGCCTAATAGGCCCTAAACACGTGGTTCAGCCTTACATGGCAAGGGAAGGTGTTCTCAGGCCATAATGGCTAAAATATTGTTTTCAAATACTGTGTTCATCAGAAAAGACCCATTCTGGGTTTTCGTTTTAGACTGACATAAATTAAGGAGCCATTTAAGGATCCCTGCAGCATTAGCTGGAGAAGAAAGGAGTTGTTTCATGAAGGGAATCAAAAAAGGCCTAATTGGCCCCCAAGACATGGTTTAGTCTTGCATAGCAAGGGAAGACATTCCCAGGCCATAATGGATAAAAAACTGGTTTCAAATAGTGTGTTTATCAGAAAAGACACATTCTGGGATTTTTTTTAGACAGACACAAATTAGGAAGTCAATCAGGAATATCTGCAGTATTAGTTGGAGAAAAAAGGGAGAATTGCTTCATGAAGGGCATCAAAAAAGACCTAATTGGCCCAAACACATGGTTCAATCTTGTGTAGCAAGGGAAGACATTCCCAGGCCATAACGGCTAAAAAACTGTTTTCAAATATTGTGTTCATCAGAAAAGAGACACTCTGGATGATAATCATGGGTGGCTGCATGAAAAATATACTTTTATAGGGAGCTGCAGCTTATTTAACCCAAGGTCCCTGTTTCAGTGAGCAGTGTCCATGTGCAGCATGGGAGAATTCCTCTTTGGCACTGGAATCCTTTCCATCCAGAGAAGGAAAATCTCTGATCGAATTTGGGGATAATTACAGGGCATAAAGTATGTCCTGTTATCCATCACAGCACAAGAATTCAAAGAATTTCTCATCAGCTCTTTCAGGCAGACCAAAGAAATCCCAAGCCTCTCTCTGAAGCTCCTACAGCTCTTTTTCCAAAGCAGCTGTAGTGATGTGGAATATCAAGCAGGGAAAGCTAATCAGAACAATTCAAAACAGAAAAGTTAAAAGAAAAGACCAAGGGAAAAATAAATCAATGCAAGACCCGGAGGCTTTTACCAACCGTTCTTTAAGTAAAATTAATTTGTAACGTAATTAAACTTTTCCCCAGAGGGACAGGTATAATTGAATTAGAGGTGCCTGGGTAGAGTTTCAGGATTTAGAGGATCTTCCCAGACTTTACCACGCTCCTCTCCCACTGCTGCCCTTCACAAAAAGCCTCCTCAGTTCATTTCTAAGCACCTCCCACGAAACAACACAATTAGAATTTATTTCTCCCTTGCTCTCCACCGGACCAGCCGAGTCCTGCTCCTCTGCAGTGAAGTTTTCTCCTCATGGATTAACTTTAAAGCCATTTTTAAACTCTGTCACTCTTACAGTGAAAGGATTTTGCCGAGTATTTCCGGGAGCTGTTTAAAATCCCCCGGTTCTGTGCTACCTTGTTCTGCTGATATCTAATGATCTGAGCACAAATCTTGGGCAGAACAGGGTTTTCAAGAACTCCTCGAGGGCTAAACCCCAGCTGGGCTCCCTCAAAATGTGTATGTGATGTGGAGTTATTCCAGCAGAAGAGAGAGGAGTCAACTCCAGCACTGCTGGAACAAAACAACCAGCCCAGTCCCACACATCTGAAGGCCTAAAATATTCCCTGAATTCAATATTGAAGGTGAGATGGACAGGAAAGATGATGCTGTGAAAACTTTCCCTCGGGAAACGGGATAGAAAGCTGTAGGTCATCACTAATACAAAGACAGGCTTGAATGCAGAACCACAGCTCGTCATCCTGAAATTTGGGAGGGTTTGGAGGCACAGGACACTTGTAATTTAAGAGGTTTGACTTAGAGGCCATTTCAGCAGACAATTCTCAGAAGTTCTTAGGTCTAAAATTACATTACAATAGGTTTCTTCCCCAGTTTCCATTACATTATGGATAAGACAGACCAGGGACAACCTCCCCCAGAATGAACCCACAGTGTCTCTGCTTCATCTTGGAGAAAACTTATCTTAAAAAAAAAACCAAAATAAAACCTAAACCAAACAAGCAAAAAAAAAACCAAAAAAAAACCAAACAAAAAAACACCACAGTGAACAAAAATTATCTGATGTGCGTCAGAATTTCCAGGAGGGCCATTCATGGGGAGATTTAAATAAGATGTTAAGGAAAGATTGTTTAATCAGAGGCTGGGGAGGCCCTGGCACAGGTTGCCCAGAGAAGCTGGGGCTGCCCCATCCCTGGGAGTGTCCAAGGCCAGGTTGGAGCATCCTGGGCTAGAGGAAGGTGTCCCTGCTTAAAAGACCTGTTTAATACTTAAACCTGTACAAGAACATCCACAAACCCTCTGATTCCTTGGATATTGTGGGTTTGTCTGTGCTGCCCCTCCCCAATTCCAATGGTGGTCCCATCACTGTTTATCTGCAGCCACTGATATTTCTATTAGTGAATTTAAGGGATTGATTTGGGAAACACCTCTCCAGACCTTTCCAGGTCTTACAAGGAAACCATCTCACAGTGGTGCAAAGACAAGCCCCAGGAAGCACCTCTGGCTGGGGGGATGCTGAGAATTGAACTCCCAAGAAATCCCAAGTTTCTTTGGGGATTCTCTGACTCTTCCATTAAATATAAGGCCATGGGATCCCTCACTCTCAGCTCAGTGACACTCCAACACCAAGAAGTTAAAGTTTGCTGCCCAAGTGTTTCTGGAACTAATTGACATTGCAGAGCTCCCAAAAAAGGCACACACCCCAATCCCTGATTCCAGGCACTATTTCAACCTTCCCTGGTTTTGTAGCTTGGAAGCCTCATTTGTGGCCTCTGTCCCAGATAAGTTTCCCACCTGGAGGTGCCTCTTTAATTCTAATGGACAGAAAGCTCCTTTCCAGCTCTCCCAGGAACACGGAGCAGAATTTGCTGGCTCGTGGATCTCTTTGTGTTCTCTGAGAAAAGTCACTGCATGAGGTGCTCCCAAAACTGAGTCCTGGAAATCTGAAGCCTTCTTTTTTTGGAGTTGAAAGACTTCAAGTGTGGGGGGTTTTTTTCCTAGACATTTAGGCCTAATTCAAGAGGAAATCCTAATCCTCAAACTTCTAATTACTCTGCCAATCTGGCTTATTAATTCCTCTGTTAAATTTAGGTAATGAATAAGCAAGACTGACTTCTCTGTGTAGTCTGTCTCTCTTTTCAGTCTAAATCTTGCCAAAAAAAAAAAAAACAAAAAGCCAAACCCAGACTTGAAAGAAGTCCCTGTCCTTCTTATGCATCTCTCATTATAGCTCCATTTACCTGATGATATTAAATATTTCAACAAATATTAATAAGGACATTTTTGATGTCAGAGCAGTTGGTATTCTTGACCTTTTAGGTCTATTAAAAAAAAAAACTTCAAAAGTTTGCTTCTTTGTAATAAGGTAAGACCCGAGGATCTGAGGCAGGAAATATTTAAGTCTCTAATTTAGATAGAAATCAAGGAAAATTAGGCAGATAAGTATCTTTAAAGATCTAAGCTGAAATGATTAGACTTTTTGAAATATTTGGGGTTTTTTTCCTGGTCTTCTGTTCTCTTGTTTCAGCAGTTTTACTTCACAAATTCTGCTCTGGTCTCGTCTCAATATCAAGTGTTGGACAAAAGGATTTGTTCCTGGCCATTTTACAGAGGCAGAAGTGGCCAAACAAATGGCTCTGACTTCCAGAAACAAACTCCCATCCCTTCCCTTGAGAAGGGAGAATTCTCAGTGTCCCACTTTCAGGGTCACCACGTTCTCTCCTGAGGAATTTCTACAAGTTTGCCCGGGAATTTTTAGGTTTTAATTTTAGGGTTTAAGTTTTCTAGGAATCCTACCCTACAACCTTCCTCAAAATACACAAAAAGGTCCATCCTCCACCTTCCATATTTCTTTAAATCAGGTTTTGTGAGCCAGGCTGTGACCCCAGGGAAGCACTGGGAGGTGTGAAGGCTGTGAAGGCAGAAAGCCTCCATTTATTATTCATCACGAGACAAAGCCAGATGCAATTTTCAAAACACAAAAATCACCTTTCAGAAGCACTTCTGAACTCTCTGAGCTGAACTGGCAGGTGACCACAGGTGAAAATAAAAGCTGTGGCACAAATACAGTATCATTTTCTCTCTGGTGTCGTTTCCATCACGTATTTTCACAGAGGGCACCGTGACACCCCTCCCCCTGATCACACCCCATCGGTGAGGAGGGCACACAACAAAAAAGGACCTTCTGTAAAGTTGTAACCTTTTAAAGACCATGCCAGTCATCACTGAACTGTAGGGAGCTAGTGTGGGGTTCTATGAGCACAGACAGAGGTTTTTGGGATCTCGTTCCCACCTCAAACCAACACCCTGCCCTGGGGGATCTCTTCTGAATTATGTGATTGAATGACTGGAAATATGATTTGAGAGAGAACTGGGATTGTTCAGCCTGGAGAAGAGAAGCTTTGGGGTGACCTATTTGTGGTTTTCCAGGACCTGAAGGGAGCCTAAAGAAAGATGGAGAGAGACAATTTGCAAGGGCCTGGAGTGACAGGACAAGGGGGAATGGCTTCCCACTGCCAGAGGGCAGGGTTAGATGGGACATTGGGAAGGAATTCTTCCCTGGGAGGGTGGGGAGGCCCTGGCACAGGTTGCCCAGAGAAGCTGTGGCTGCTCCATCCCTGGAAGTGTCCAAGGCCAGGTTGGACGGGGCTTGGAGCAACCTGGGCTGGTGGAAGGTGTCCCTGTCATGGGTTGGAATGAGATGTGCTTTAAAATCCCTTCCAACCCAAACCATTCCATGATTCTGTGACTTATAAATTACTAGAACCACTGACTAAAGCATTTCTGAGCCTGTGCTGAGGTGAACCTCGGGAAGCTGAATCCCAGAGCTCCCGGGGGTGCGTGAGCGGCGCCGAGTGACCAAAAATGTGGATTTCCTCAGGGGAAAGGTGGAGCTTCCAGTACTCACAGAGGGCAGTGGTGAGCTTCTCCGGCTGGTCATAGTGCACCATGGCCACACAGAGGGTGTTGAGGGCCACCACACACAGGACAATCCAGTAGAAGCTCTGAGCCTTCACCATGCGCCGGATGAAGAACCGGAACATCTTCTCTTTCCTCCTGAAGTAGGACGAGCTCTCGTTCTTCCCGCTCTTCAAACTGGCGCGGGCAAAAGGAGACCCTGGGACAGAGAGAAGAGTCACCACACCCCACCCTGGCAGGCAAAAGGCTGGAGGGCATCTCCTGGGCACACAGAGCCTCTGCCAAGCACCGGGAACACGGCTGAGCAGAAAGCTGGGCACGCTGGCCACGGGCTGAGCGAGGGCATCTGGCTTGGGATGGTGCCATGAGGGATGAAGGCTGGGGTTTTAAAACTTCATGAGTCAATGAATCAGTGCCCAGCTCCGCCATCTAAAGAAACTGGGCTTCCAAACCTTTGGAACAATCCTGATTGCCCCAGTTAAACCCATCACTCGGGCTGGAAGGACAGGAAGCACCAGGCCCGGTGGTGGTTCTGCCCGTGGTGTGGAGCACATCCTCATGGAGCTGGGACCTGGCAGCAGGAAAGCTGGTCTCTATTTCTCCTGCTCCAAGGACCAGCCCTTACTGCTGAATGGAATGAAGTCTCCTTATTTCACTCTCCAGCTGCCTGTATTTCCTGAGCAGAGCCCTCGATCTGCCTCCCTGCATCAGATTTTGGGTGCAGCTACTCATTTGTACCAATTGTGCCTAAACCAGACGTATTTCCACTCCGGTCTGAAACCCTGGAAAGAGCCAAATGTTTGAACAATAGGAAGCTGATGGAAGAAATTCTTTTTGCTGTTCAAATGAAGGATGAAAGGGCAACCTCTGGCCAGTGCTGAGCAGGAGAAATCAACACAGGTTAGGAGTAAACACGTGGAGCCATTGGGGTTCCTCTGCAACTGCCACAGATGCTGTTGCAAGCAGGGAAAATCATGATTGTTGCTGTCCACTAGTTGTGTCACGCTCTGCTGGCCCTCAGGACCTTTTTTCAAGACAATTTGTGGCAGGATAATACACTATTGCCCTTCCCCATCGTGGGATGGAACATCCCTGCAGGAAGGGCTGAGCAGGACACATGGGCCTGCCTTGGACCAAGCAGATGATTTACATGGAGATGGCTGAGCTACAGGAACAAAGTGTTCTGGCTGCAGCAGCCAAATCTTGGGGTGTGAGCACCTACATTTCAGCACTTGGAAGGGGCGGGAATCTCGCCCTCTTTCGTGCTGCAATAACATCAAACACAACACCCATAGAAAGGATGAAGCATCCAGATGTGACAGCAGCAGGTTCTCCAAGCCTCACAGCTCCACAGGAGTGTGATGTCTCCCCAGTGGAACGTGAGCTCTCCACTCCATGGCCCATTTCTGGCCACCCACCAACACATAGAGCTGGCCTTGGCCAGGCTCTGAGCAAAGTCCTTGCAGAAAACTTGACGTGCTGTTCTGTTAGTTTGCTAATCCTGCCTTTGGCAGTTTAAAAAATAAATCACAGTGCTCCTCCATTGCTCTAAGACAACAAAAAGAGCTCCAGTTTAGGATTTAGGCTGCACTGTTTAGCAGGTAAAGAGCTCTCAGATATTCATGCCACTCTGTACTCCCAGATTTGCAAGGGAATAGTCTCATCTCCTCCACTGATCTTTCAGAGGAGAAAACCAGTTTGTATTTAAGCTGCTCTAACATAGAAAATATCCACTTCTCTGGGCTTTGCTGTCTGGGAATCCAGACAAGTGTCCTGTGTCTGGGACAGCGTGGAGGGTGGGAAGGCAGAGAGAGCAGCTGCACACTTATTAGTGTGGAATGAGAGGCTGAGAGTCGGGAGGAGAGAAAAGAACAAATGCTAAGAACAGCTCCAGAGAACACATTGGGAAGTGTTCAGCACTACAGAGCTTTATAATGCAATTATGAGGCTCCTTGAGGTGCTTGTGTTGGAATTCAAGAGCCAACGGGCAGCGAGAGCCCTGTCAAAGCCTCTCCCCCTGGTCTGCACCTTCCCCTGGCACTCAAGAATGATGCTGCTGGTTCTTCCACCCTCCTTCTGCTCCCACCAGAAGACATCACAGAAAAACAGCTCAAAAAACATATTCTTTATGCATAATTGCCCACGTGCTGTGATTGTTTGTGTTCTGCAGAGCCTCAGCCTCTTCGGGAGCCCGCGAAGGAGCCGCTTCATCCATCTCTCCTTCTCTGTCTCGTTCCATGAATCAAAATCAAAAACACTTTTCCCAAGTGGGTGAAGCACTGCTGTTATTTTCCGTGCCATATGCTCCCGAGACAGTTCCCAGCTCTGCAGCAGATTATTCACGAGCCCAGATGCTCCGTCATCCGTTGCCACCTGAAATGCCTGAATTCCAAGATCTGTTGGCGTGGCATGGGTGCCCAGAGCCTGGAGGGACTTGGATGGGAACGCAAAGAGCTCGTAATTATTGCAACCACGGACAACTGTTCCAAAAATGACCCTTCCTTGTTATCCATGCAGGGATCCTGGGGGAAAAAAAAAATAACCGAACCAACCCAAAAATGCACACGGGTGCTGCATTTTTGCCCTCTTTCAGCAACGAGCCTCTTGCAGAAGTGTCAGCAGTTTAGGCACAAAACCTGCAGCCTGGGGGACTGTGGGTGATGGTGTCAGGAACATGCCAAGCAACACTCAATTCCTGCAAACAGGTCTTGGTTTAAAGGGAAAAAAAAAATCCCAGCAGCAGCTCTAATCCCTTAAAACCTTAATGCCAACTTTCCAAAGGGCAGTTGAGGCACTTGTGCTTTCAGAACTCTGCAGACACAGACTCTGAAATGAACTGTTTGTGCTGCTGCTCTTGTGCTCCCAGGATTTGCTGCTTGGTGGGAACTGGGCTGCCAGGATATTTCTTTGGAAGATAATGAGAACATCTGCTGCTCCAGCAGCAAAACCATGTCCAGACTCAAACAACAGGGCCAGGGAGAAGCAAAATACCCAAGTGCAGAGCAGGCAGGAGATGTGCCCCCAGCCAGGGAGGAGCAGCCCCGGGCTGAGAGGCGTCTCTGCTGGTGTCCAAACAGCTCCCTGAGCTGGGGGCTGTGGGCTCAGAGCCTGCCAAGCCCTGCCAGCCCCAGACCTGCCTCCTGCCTCTCCACCTGGCCATGACTCAGGAGGGAATTAGCTCTGGGAACTGCAGGACAGGCAGCAGTCTGGTAGTCCTGTTCTGCAGAGCTGAAGCCCCCAAATGCCGCACAGGGCAGGATGCACTGGAGGTGTGGGGGTGACTGGGTGCACACTGGTGTGTGTCTCTACATCTGGCTTGAAAAATGTAGAGAATTGCTTCAAGATCTTCTCCTAAGGCAAAAATGAGGGAATTGGGGCCACTGCCCAGCGTTTCCCAGTAATAACTCACACAGCAAGGGCTGCAAACCCACCCCTGTGCATCAGTGGCAGATGGGACTGTGTCCAGTTCCTCCAACAAAGAGCCTTAGCAGTGTCCTTGGACAGATTTGGGGTTCATTAGCATGAACAGGCGTGCTCCAAGCAGAATCCCGGGATGGGTGGCACAGCAGGGATTCTCCCAGCGCCGGGCAGGGCTCTTGGAAAGGTGCAGCATGCAAGAGCTGAGCCGGGCAGCGCAGGGCAGAGGGTGAAGCCACAGAGCCCTTTGCTTTGGGAAGTCGAGGGGACTTCTCCTTCTTGAAACCGCAGCTTCTGGAGCAAAGGAGCCTCTCAGAGGAAAGATGGCATGGACAGGTTTGGGTGGAGATCTGAACCTGGGGCAATGCGAAGCCGGTACTCACCAACGGAGCAAATGTCTGTGAAATGGTCCTCACCTTCTTCTGCATGAATCAGGTCGTTTTTGCTCTTCTTTATTGCGGCTCTTTTCAACACTGTGTGCAAATTAAAGAGAAAACGCCCCGTGAGGATGCAGAGTGGATTCTCTCTCCCCCTCCCTTCGCTCTCCAGGGCCAGCATTTCCTTCCCAATGCCAGCTTAGAGCTCTCACACAAGGGCAGGCCGGAGCAAACCGGACAACCTACAACCTTGCAGGGCCCAGTGCTTCGGTGTCAGGGTCCTTTAGCTGTTTGACCTTCCAGATCGTGAAGGTCTGCCAGGGACGGGGCTGGGCGCTCACACTTCCCCCAGCAGATGCAGGAGGGTGGGGGAGTCACTGCAGCTGCTGGAGCTTTTAGCACAGCAGAAAGGCTGGCCAGGGTCACTGGATCTTTGTGAGCCCCAGTGGGTGAGGAGATGAGTGCTTCCATCCATTAAAGCCATTAATGCTGTTTACAGTGGGCACCATTAAGGAGTCAGCATTCACGGGCTCCGTTTAAGCACCGAGCAGCGCCCGGAGGAGCAGAAACGCTCAGAGAGAAGCAACTGCCACAAATCAGGGAGCAGCCTCTTAATAGCACCCAGTGTACAATCCCTGCCCTCTGGGGCTGCTGTAATTCTTTGAAGACACGCTTCTCCCAACAGCATCTTTTGTGGGGAGGGCAGACATCCCTACGGTGTTTTATTCCGACAGGGAAAGAGACCGGCAGCCTAAAAGGCTCGGAGAGCTCTGCACTGTCCAGCCAGTGCAGGAGGGGTGAGGCAGGAACAGTGAGGATGCCGGTCCCATGACCACCTACCTGCAGAACCTCGAGAACTGGCAGAAAAAGATACGTTGATACAGTTTGGTAACAGGTTCAAGACATACAGTAACTAAGCACCATTTTCTAGCAGCAGTAAGACACCCCACGGTGTGGTGATACAGACTGGTCAGAAGGCACACACAGCAAACCCACACACTCTGAGCCACTGGAGTCTCCTAGAGAAGATCCCCTCACTCTTCACACGGATTTCCCTGACACAGAAATGGATGTGCTGCTTCCTCCACGGCCAAGGCAAGGGTTGGTTCTTTGGTCCCTTCCAAACACCCAGAGCATCACCTGGGTTCGGAGAGGCTCGAGGAGAAGAGGATGCTCTGAGCCTGTGATCTGGATCCAGGGGTTTTTTTTGGCAAATAACCACTTTTGCACCTTTCTTCCCCACCCAGCTCTAGGCTGAATCCTCAGTCCCAGCAATACCAGCTTTTGGGTCCTCCAGGCTCCATCTGTCCCAGTACACTCCAGCATATCCAGGCCATTCCCAGCACTGGAACGTAACCTGCACTGGGAGTAAAATTTTACAACACTCCCTGGCATGAACTGAGCAGCTTCTTTATCTTCTCCCCCAGATAACTCCTACTTGTGTTTAGCAGTGTGCCATCTCTACAGGCACCCTGGATGCAACAGCCCTCTGTTTTGGAGACTGAGAGGATTTACCAGCATAGACATGGGCTGCTCCACACCAGTTGCTTCAAGGCTGGGAATGTTGCCGGGTTCCTTTAGTTTAGCAGGATAGAAGGAGCCTTAATATCCCTGGTTCTTGACTTGTCCCCACCTCTAGTTTGCTCACACCACTCAGCTTTCCGGGCTACTCTTCCAGACGCTCAGGGCTAAGAGCTGCACCCACGTGCTGGACGAACTCCCCCAGCGCACACGACCCACACACACACACGAAGACTGGCCAGGCACACCTCGAACCCTGACCTCCTGCAGCCCCAGCTCTTCCATCCATCCCCGAGTCCTCCCCAGGTGCAGGTCACCAGGCTGGCCAAGGCGGACCAGCAGCCGGGCGCCCGCCGCCCCGAAGGAGCCGGAGCACAGGGTGCAAAACCACCCGGGAGACACCCCCGGTGACCTGGGCACGGGGGGCTGTGGGGTGAGGCTGCCCCGCTGTGCCGCCTGAGCCCCTGGTGATTTGCAATCCACTCACTGTTGTAGCTGCTGCCGCTGCTAGTCTCTGCCGGTGCCGTGCCTTGGTGGATCGGCCCTTCCGAGGCGGCCCTCCCTGACAGTGAATGGGAGGAGAAAAAAAAAGAGGAGGGAAGAGGGAGGGGGAGGGGAAAGGAGGAGGAGACATGGGAGGACGAAAGATGGTCAGAAAAGGGAGAGGGAAGAATCTTTAACTGAACTTTGACTGGCTGGCGCGTTCCTACGAGCTCATCGCTCTCGGAGGCACAGGGAGGGCAGGTCCTGTGGCCTCGCTCGGCTCGGTCCCTCCAGCCTGGGTCGCACGTTGGAAGGTAGGATCACCACACCCTGTTATGTCTTACTGCTTACAGCTAACAGGGGTCTTAGTCTCTTTGTCAAATCCGTTTGGAAAACCTCGGTTTGGAGCCCTGCCTTCTCCTGGTCAGCGCGTTCCTCCTCTGGCATCCGCTCTGCAGCCTAATCCCCGCCACGGCCTGGGGGTGGGACACGGCCAGCCCCGCTTGGACAGGCTGACGGGTGTCCCTGTGGTCCCACAGGCAGCGTAGGGACCGACCCCAAGGGCAGATCCCCACCCCAGGGCGGTGTCACATGACTGCTCATCATCCACCTGCAACCTCGAAAGCACCCGATACGGGTGAAGGGACTCTGCAGCCCCATCTCTGCCAAGGGCATGCAAGAGTGTGTTCCTCACACCCTCCTGGGCACAGTGGAAGGCCGTGGCACTGTCCAGCAGCTGAACCTCTCATGTATCACAGGAGGAAAACGGCACAGCAAAGGGACCTACCGTCCAGAGGAGATTTCTCTTCTGCGTTCTTGTCTTCCTCTGCCAGCATGACCTCCTCTGGAAAAGATAAAACAGCAAGGTTCAACCTCAGGTTTATCATATCCCTGCTCTAAAACCAGCTGCCACCTGCCTTACCCCATTGTATCACCCAGTTACACCCAGCCTGGGGAGGAGAGGATGGCTCAGAACACTGTGCCCCTCTTGCTCAGGGGAAGGAAGTCAGACAAACCACTGGGAGATGTAGCTCTTCCTGCATGATATTCCTCTTCACAACCACCCACCCAGTCCAGTTTCTCCACCCAACTATCATCCACAAGGGACTTCTGGATGCCAAGAACCTTCCTTCAGACCCAAGAAAGCCACAGGGTGGTCCCTCATGTCCTGTCACATGGGAGACACCATTTGAGAAGTGAGAGATGCTCCACACCCGTTGCTGCTCTTCTGTCTCCATCAGCAGGACCAGGACTCAGCCCAAGGGTAACAGATCTCTTGTGGCACAGGGTGAGACAAGCAGGGCCAGCTGCTGCATGTCAGCAGTGCCACATCTCAGGAGACACAGTGTCACCAGAAAGCCACCACGTCAAATCTTTGCCCAGTTAAAACCCACAAGGTGCCAGGGGGGAGCTCTGCTGGGCACAGTTCAGGCTGTGCAGTGCAGGAACACCACCCCTGCTTTCCACTCACGTGTGATCTCCAAAATACAACTTTATACTTCCCTAAAGTAAAAAAAAAAAAAACCATACAACACTGTAAAAACCAACCTCGCAAAACTGAATGATTTTTATCTGAGTGAAAGACAACCAAGTTTCCTGAGGTTTCCCAGTGCAAATGTCATCACCCAAGGCAGTTTGCAGAACACACCGCGCTGTGCCAGCACTGGAGAAACACTCAGAACCACAGATTTTAACTTGCTGCTGGAAAAATTACGTGAGGATTTTCTAAAGGACAACCCAAAGCAAACAAAACATCGAGTTGGAAGCTGGGGAACTGCACACTTCCTTCTATTATTATAAATGACAAAATCCTCCACGTGCTTGGCACGGATATAATTTGACTGAAACATCTGACGCCGTGCTCCCACAAAATTTTGCTTTAAAGTCCATTTAAGCTGGTCTAGATTGAAGGGTAACTAAAAAAAATATAGAAAATAAACACAAACAAACCACAGGCCAAACATCAAAGTGTGTAGCTGAGAGCTGTCTAGAAGAATACTAGAGGGATCAGCCTTATATAAGCCTATATAAGCCACACAAGCCTTATATAATCTCTTTATTAATCATCTGGGAGAGAGAGTGAATGATACATTAATAAGACAGTAAATTGAGAAGCCTGAAAAATAATATCCAAGGACTGAGGGAGGCTGGAAAGGCAAGAAGAAAGTGCAAACTAGTGCTTGAGAGACATGGAGGAAAGAAGAGCTGAGAGAGGGTTAAAAATGTCAGGTGAGCTAAAAACTGCACTTTAAAAGGTATAAAATGCTTCCAAAAACCCGCAATACCAATCAGGTGCTTTTTGAGGCTTCTTAGGATGGGTCAGAAAAGTAAAATGGGCTTTTGTAGACAGTTCAAGAGACTTCTGTGTCAAACCAGCACCCCTTCAAAAGTCTGGCCCAAGGAAAAGCTGTACCCATGTTTGGGGCTAAAAATGTTGGAAGGAAATAAAAAGCAATTACCAAGGAGTATGACTGTCCTAAACCATGAGGAAGGGATGGCTTGGACATGGACACCCCTTCCCAAAGGCTGCTGGTGTCAATGGATCCTCACCCACAAAGGTCAGGTTCCTCAGAGATAACTGCAAACCAGCTGGGCCTCTGCCCCAAACTCAGGGCCCCGAGTTGGTGCCCAAACACATCTCCATCCATGCACACATCTCCATCCATGGAAACATCTCCATCCATGCACACATCTCCATCCATGGACACATCATCCATGGACACATCTCCATGCATGGAAACATCTCCATCCATAAACACATCTCCATCCATGGACACATCATCCATGGACACATCTCCAT